TCGCAAGGACGAAGGGGGGGGGGTTCCTCTTAAGCTGGTTAGGCCGGCGGAGCTTACTCGAGGCCGCCCCGACGATAGAGGAAGGATAGGCCGGGATAGATGGGTAGAGGAGGATTGCCGAGGAGATGCGGAGAGGCGGAGGAGAGAAAGGAAAGGCATCTAGGGTGGGACAAAGAGGGAGAGATGGGGTGGGTAGGTCAGGAGGGGACGGGATGGGGAGGATGGGTAGGGGGCGGGGGGTAGATGGGGAGGACGGGGTGGGTAGATAGGGGGATGGGAAGGGTAGGACAAAGGAGATGGGATGGGTAGGACATGGGAGGGGTACGGGGTAGGTAAGACAGGCGATTACATCATTAATTACATTATTAATTGTGAAATGATAAATAAATAAAAAAATAAATTAAATAAATAAAAATGTTTAACAGGAAAGAAAATATAATGATGCTTTTGTCTGGGAATCAGTCAGATTGAGAGAAAATAGTTTGGCTGAAAGCAGTGATAAGATTATATGCCGTAAAACATTTCACACAGATCTCCTATTGCAAGTATGATGAATAAAAAAAATAAAAAAAAAAAATTATCTGTCCTTGATAGCAGTAATTTCTTTCAATGTCTGTTTTCAATCCCTGAAAGTATGTGTCTGCAAAGGCTTTCACTGTTTAATGATTTATATGTTATCATTACGTCTGAATTTTATTTTTCAAAAGAAAACCAGTTTGACCCATTCAGCGTTAAAAATCCTGCCTGCGTAAATATGAATTCACAGAAAAGTAAATACAGGGCTGCGGTCAAACAGAATTTATTCAACCACAATATTTACCAAGGGAAAAGCTTGTAATGTAGGAACTGATATATGTACGTGTGTTTATATTTCTATATATTTAATACAAAGGAATATTTATTTTTACACTAAATAATCATTTCTACCATTATTCTTCCAGCACAATGGTATCAACAGTATTTTCTTTGTTGTTAACATCCTTGCGGGAAAAGAAGCAGCAGATTCGCCACCGTTTGGAAGCACATAGTTTGTAACAATTAATAATTATTGTCAATTTTGTCCTGTCAGACTGTATAATTCATAAAAATATTTTATATAATGATATGCTTACACTTGTATCAGATATCAGAGTACAAATATTGATATGCTTACACCATTATCAGAGTAGTGAATGAAAACAATGCTAAGTGTACAAGCAAAACGATCCAGAAAAAGGAAAAAAATACAGATATGATAAACCCAATACATTTATACATTCATATTTCTATGGTTGTAAACAAAGACTCCACTCATTATGGAGGTTGAATGGTCCTTGCACTTCTAATAAAACAAATCAAACAAAATAAAACAAACACTCACAAAATTATCTTCGACACCTAATCAGACGCAATTAAAACATTACGTTAACGGAAGACTATTTGAAACTAATAAGTAAGGTTTTGTTAACCCATGAAAAATAGTGTAGCCAGATAGCACCAGCATTATCTATTATAGCGCCATCTGATGCACGAACGATAAACAAAATTTCCCAATAATGTAATTCAATTTCTTTTTTTACCCCCGGGATGTTTTTTTAATCTGTTTGGGTAATTGTGTGAATTAAAATCGGATAACAATCGTACATGGTAGTATGTTGTTGATAATTATCTAAAAAAGTGATAGGATATTCTCTAAAAGGATAATTATAGTGCGGTACAAACTTCACTTATGACAGTTATTTTGTTTATATCTAGATTACGTTTACATTGTATTATCATATATGCCGATATTGTATAACCAGCAAGAGGAAAAGAAATTTACTACAATCATATTAACAAAATCTGTTTATAACGCCAAATAATCATGAAATAACTAAATATATGAAATAGAATATAAATATATCAACTCAGATAAAATTAACTTTGCAACATATCACATAAAGATAGTATCTATTCATGACAGTTTTGAAATCTATCGTGTTATATTGAAAGTAAGCTTTTATTCAATGTAAAATGCCTATTGTAGACCTAAAAACAGTCAGACATCACACCTGCCTGCTTCATCCTGCTAAGAGATAATCGTCTACAATGTCAAGAGTTGTAAATTATATCCGTATCCTTGTTATAACGTTTCGTAATGGACGTTATGTCATGCGCATCCTAAAGGCCTACTGTGTTTGTTAAATGTTTCGACTGCTTAAACTTTCCTCTATAACATATAAACAAACATCGATAAATTCATGTTTATGCATTACAGGCTCATGATTGTAGTGCATGGACGTGAACTTGGCGATGCTATATCAAGCATATGTGTATATCAAGAAAATAAGACGCTGAGAACACCTTTTTGTACGCACATACTCTCATTTCCTCTACGCATACAGCAAGTAAATGTTCAATACACATAAAATCTTTCGTTGGTCGAGGCCTGCACTAGACATTATCTCACCTTCTAGCTTCATGCTTTATCTGTACGTTGTCTTTGTCATAGACTTGGTCCAATACTAGAGTGTTCATGAAGCTGACGAAGAAAAAAAAGTTATTTATTAATTTATTCATGGTTTATTTATTAGCGTTGTATTGTTTATTTATTATTTATCTGTATATATTTTTTGCCTTTTTATACAGTGGAAAGTACAATTTTTGAATTCATTTATCCTTAGATTTATCAAAAAGAAACGGATAAGATATTCACGCTGCTTAGATATGTTCGTCTTCCCAGGAGGTGTATCCGACCCGTTTCTGTCTACTAAATCGAGCTGTAGACCTAACAGCAGCTATGGTCTTTAAGCTCTCGACACGGTAGCGAAAACCGGGTGTGTTAGAAATAGTCTCCTTGTAACAATAAACCCCAGTCTTGAGAATTATCTCCTGGTGTGCTTGTCTGTCCTCTTATGCGTCACACACACACACACACACACACACACACACACACCACACACACACCCAACACACACACACACACACACACATATATATATATATATATATATATATATATATATATATATATATATATATATATATATATAATATACATAGTATAATTATATATATATTTTTTTTTTTTCCTTCTTCTTCTTCGTTCTTCTTCTTCTTCTCTTCTTCTTCTTCTTCTTCTTCTTCTTTTCTTCTTCTTCTTCTTCTTCTTCTTCCTCTTTCTTCTTTCTTTCCTTTTTTAACCCCCCTCCCCCTTTAACACATTTATTCTGCCGTATAAATTAGTTCGATTCCCCAAAAGACACATTTATGGTTAACGGATAAAAAGGAAGAAAAAAACAAAACACAAAACAAACAAAACATCTCTGATGCCATCAAACTAAATATATTGCACTCAAATCAGTACTACGAAACACATGAAAACTAACAGAAATAAAACACTTAAAACAATGATAGTAAAATAATAATATAATTAATAATTAATAATAGCGCAAATAGATTAAAACTTATAATGATAATAATAATGATAATGATAATAATAATAATAATAATGGTGATAATGGATAATAATTGATGATGATGGATGATGATGATGATTGATGATGATGTGATGATGATTGATTGATGATGATGATGATGATGATGATGATGATGATGATGATGATGATGATGATGATGATGATGATGATGATGATGATAATGATGATATCATGGTAATAATAAATAAAATATATAAATAAATAAACAAAAAATAAAATACCCCAAACGAAAACAAACAAACCAAAACGCCCAGACAATATTCTCCTCCTTCCCAGGGCCCTCCGTTCGGCAGAGGAGGAGGGCGCGCTTGACGCAAGGAGAGGATGACCAATTTAAACCCTCGATCGCTGAAAGGAGAGAGCGAGGAGGGCGAGGCTTTTCAGGCCCGGAGGAGAGGCGGAGATGAGGGAGGGATTGGGATGAAGATGAGGGAGGGATTGGGATGAAGATGAGGGAGGGATTGGGATGAAGGATGAGGAGGGATTGGATGAGATGAGAGGGATTGGGATGAAGATGCAGGAGGGATTTGGGGGTGACGATGAGGGGGATGGGTGAAGATTGATGGGAGGGATTGGGAGGTGGACGATGAGGCGAGGGATTGGGATGAAATTAGGGAGGGATTGAGGATGAAGATGAGGGAGGATTTGTAGGGTGACGATGAGGGGAGGGATTGCGATTGAGATTCGAGGGAGGGATTGGGATGAAGATGAGGGAGGGATTTTGGGATGAGATGAGGAGGGATTGGGGTGACGATGAGGGAGGGATTGGGATGAAGATTGAGGAGGGTTGGGATGAGGGAGATGGGAATGGAAGATGAGGGAGGGTATTGGGATGAAGATACGGAGGGATTGGGATGAAGGATTGGGATGAAGGGAGGGATTGGGTGATGAGGGAGATGAGGGAGGGATTGGGCATGAAGATGAGGGAGGGGATTGGGATGAAGATGAGGGAGGGATTGGATGAAGGATTGAGGAAGGGATTGGGATGAAGATGGGGGGGAAATGAGGGAGGATTGGGATGAAGATGAGGGAGGGATTGGATGAAGATGAGGGAGGGGAATGAAGATGATGAGATTGATGAAGATGAGGAGGGATTGGATGATTGAAGATGAGGGGGTATTTGGATGATGAAGATGAGGGCAGGGATTGGATGGATTGGGATGGATGGAAGATGAGGGAGGGATGAAGATGAGGAGGGATTGGGATGAAGATGAGGGAGGGATTGGGATGAAGTGAGGGAGGGATTGGGATGAGATGAGGGAGGATTGGGATGAAGATGAGGGAGGTTGGGTGAAGAGATGAGGGAGGATTGGATGAAGATGAGGAAGATGATTGGGATGAAAGGGATTGTGAAGATTTGGGATGATTGACGATGAGGGAGGATTGGATGAAGATGGAGGGAGGGATTGGGATGAAGATGAGGGAGGGGGATGAAGGAATTGGAATGAGATGGGATGAAGATGAGGGGATGGGAATGAGGGATTGGAATGAAGATGAGGGAGGATTGGGATGAAGATTGAGGGATGGATTGGGGATTGGATGAGATGAGGGAGGGATTGGGATGAAGATGGAGGGAGGGATTGGATGGATTGGATGAAGATGAGGGAGGGATTGGATGAAGATGAGGAGGGATGGGATGAAGATGAGGGAGGATTTGGGATGAAGATGAGGAGGATGGGGTGACGATTGGGATGAAGATGAGGGAGGGGATTGGGATGAAGATAGGAGGGATTGGGAGATGAGGGAGGATTGGGATGAAGATGGGGATGATGAGGGAGGATTGGATGAAATGAGGGATGGGATGAGATGAGGGAGGGATGGGATGAAGATGAGGGAGGGATTTGGATGAAGATTGTGGAGGGATTGGATGAAGATGAGGGAGGGATTGGGATGAAGATGAGGGAGGGATTGGGATGAGGGATGAGGGATGAGGATTGGTAATTGGAGGGATGAAGGGATATTGGGAGGGAGGATTGGGATGAAGATGAGGGAGGGATTGGGATGAAGATAGGGAGGGATTGGGATGAAGATGAGGGAGGGATTGGGATGAAGATGAATTGGATGAAGATGAGGGAGGATTGGGATGAGGGAGGGATTGAGGGAGGGGGGATTGGGATTGAGGATGAAGATGAGGAGGATTGGGATGAAGATGAGGGAGGGATTGAGATGGAGATGAGGAGGGAATTGGGATGAAGATGAGGGATGGATGGGAGGGAGGGATTGGGATGAAGGAGATGGGGAGGGAATTGGGATGAAGATGAGGGAGGGATTGGGATGAGAGATGAGGAGGGATTGGGATGAGGGGAAGATGAGGGAGGGATTGGATGAGATGAGGGAGGGATTGGGATGAAGAGGAGGGAGGGATTGGGATGAAGATGAGGGAGGGATTGGGATGAAGATGAGGGAGGGATTGGGATGAGATGATGGGAGGGATTGGGATGAAGATGAGGAGGGATTGGGATTTGAAATGAGGGAGGGATTGGGATTGAAGATTGGGATGAAGATGAGGGGAGGGATTGGGAGGAAGAGAGGGAGGGATTTGGATGAAGATGAGGGAGGGAGAGAGGGGGAATGAGGGAGCGGATTGGGATGAAGATGAGGGAGGGATTGGGATGAAGATGAGGGAGGTTTGGGATATGGATGCGCGCCCGATGCGTCTGATCCGGACGCTCAGATGCCGTTTCGGTAATATGTGTATGTGTTTGTTTATATATGTATATATATATATTATTATTATATATATTATATATATTTTTATTATATTTATATTGCATGTGCATGTATGTATGTATGTATGCATATATATGTATATAGATAGATAGATAATTACAAATACAAACTGATTATTATCAATGGAAAAAACACTATATAATCACACCTTCTGCTTCAGAATAGAAACATTGAGAGAGAAGAAGGTTAGAGATAGCGATGGGGGGAGAGAGAGTGGGGTAATAGAAAGAGGGGAGGGATAAACAGAGAGAGAGATATGCTGAATGGAGAATAGAGGGAGAGGGGATAAGGGGATGGGGAATTGGAAGATTGAGAGAGAGGTCAAGTATTGAGTAAAAGAGAGAGAGAGAGAGAGGTGGGAGATTGAAAAAGACAGAGGGAAAGGAAATGAATGAAGGAGAGAGAAAGAGAGAGAGGGAAATGAAGAGAATGGGCGAGCGAGAAGAGAGAGGGAGGGAGGAGAGAGGAGAGAGAGAGAGAGGAGAGAGAGAGATGCAGAGATGGGAGAGAGAGGCCAGAGGAGAGAAGAGAGAGAGAGAGAGAGAGAGAGATTGATTTCTTGAATATTTCATTCCCTTACGGTGGTTCGTGATACGTAATTGATTCACATTCATTACTATGCAAAGTATAACAAACACTTTACATTAGCAGCGATATGCTAATCATAATATGCTTTTCCTTAATAGAATTGCAGACTTAACATTCGAACGAGGCTCATAATAATATCGACTTTGTCTTTCTAAACCATTGATTTATTGTATTTTCTTTATTATCTGGTTATTATTTATGCCATCTGTTCGTCTATCTATTTTTCTATCTACCAATGCATCGATCTGTTGTATGAATATCTCTCTATAGTTCTATCTTCTGGTTTTCTGCTTCTCTCTCTCTCTCTCTCTCTTCTCTCCNGGGGAGGGGATGGAGAAGGGAATGGAGGGGAAGGGAAGATGAAAGAGGAAGGGAAGGGGAGGGAAAAGGAAGAGGAAGGGAGAGGCGGAAGGGGAAGGAGAAGGGAAGTGAAAGGAAGAGAGAAGGAGAAAATGAAGAAAAAAGGGGAGAAGGAAAGGAAGGGGCAAAGACAAAAGAAAGAAGAAGAGGAAGAGGGAAAGGAAAGGCGGACGATTGAATAAAACCAAAGCTTGGGCAAATAATCAATGGGAAAAATTAGGATGGCGAGAGAGGAGAGAAGGAAGGTAGAGAATAGGGACAGAGGGAAGGAAGGGCGACAGGGGGAGGGGCAAAAAAGGAAGGAGGGGGGGGGAAAAGAGGTGGGCACGAAAGGTGGGGAAGTAACAAGTCACGTGGCGAAAAG